ATATTATATTTCTAATTTTAATTTTTTCAATTTTCTTCATTTATGCAATATTAACGATCGAGTTTTTATTGAATTATTCAAAAAAAGAAAGCATAAATCTATATAGTGTCATCCAACTAATCTCTAACTCTTTTCTGAAAACGTCAATCTCTCGAAACGTATTCCACCATTTTCCTTCAAACGCGTTCCATCAAGCAAAAGCTATAACTTCAAGCGGGAATGTAACAATCAATCGATCGATTTGACGTATTTGGACACCGTGTAACACGACAATCAACCACTTTGCGCATCTTCGTTACTCGTTTTTGCTCCAGAGAAATTTAAGCGTAACGTACCGCGATCGCTCAAGCCGATTGATTTACGCGCCATTTCATCGAAGCGCGGCAATTTTGAAAATGCTCCGCCCTTACGGGAGTTTTTTCGATATCGTGGCAGTTTTCCTCGTCTCTTTCTCGGTATCCATCGTTTGTCGTTTCCGCTTTGGAAGATTTATGACCGACTGGAACTACGGAGGATTGAGAAACTGGGTGAACGATAATGAGATACGTAAATTGCTCGACGATGGCGGGAGTAATTGTTCCTTGAATGATGGGAAATTTGGTCGGTGAATGATCCCTTTGTGGCTTTATAGAGTCGTGCATTAAACGGAGTGAATCGAATTAGTCTCGGGATTTTTGCCTCTTTTCGAACTTGTCCAAAGACTAGATTTGTTTTTGCATTTCTCAGCATTTCTTTCTTTCCTTCTTTTAAAAATAAAATCTTCTTTTGAGATCTATTCTTTCCCTCTTGTTTTGAGATTTTTCATAATTCTCTCGTTGTCATTTTTCTCATATCTTCTTATAGATAAATTGAATTGTTTCCGAATCTTTACAAAATTTTCTATAAATCTATATTTATTTAAAAATGTATAAATGATTTAGAGAACTTCAATAATACAAAACAACAACAAAATAAGAAAATATTGGACAATTTTTTAAAAGAATAATATTATACATCGTTTTTTAAAAAAATAAAGTTTAAAAAATAATTAAAAAACAATTGCTCGAGCATGAAATAAAGTTAAACAAGATTCTAGTATTATTAAGTATTATTATTATTATAAGTATCTAGTATTATTAGTATTATTATTAAACAAGATTATAGTATTTCGTTTCCATTTTAAATGTTCAAATATTCATTCTACAAAGTTCTCGATCCTATCTACGAGCAGATAAACTGTTTATACCGAGCAGACCGCTTTTATCGCTATTAGTTGAAAATCAAAATTATACACCCCTTTTACCGCAAAACTTTTATTAAAATTAGCGTCCGGGATGATAGTTGCACATTCGCCGCCGGTTATTTCCCTCCGGTTATTGAAGATACAAGAAAGTTACAAATTTCCCTCGGAGGAGGAGACACGGGGCGCAATACTATAAAAGCACATCGAATCCACCGTATCGCCTGTATAAATCATACGAAATGCGTCCATGAATTAAATATTTTCGCGTACATTCACGATGAGTTTCTTCTTTTTTTTTTTTTCTACCGGAATTCGTTCCTCATTTTATAGACATCGAGATAAACTTTTACGCGTCCCTTCGCCACGAAACGGCCATCGAGGAAACCTTGAAACGTTCCCCTTAACTAACACGGCGACCCATTTGAATAAAGCATTCGTTGGCAATAAAAGATCAATGAAGCCGGAAAACTTGGTGGAATTTGATTTTCAAACTACGGAAAACACGTATGCCGAGACATACAACGCGAAAAATATTTCTATATCTAGTGGTGAGAGTGAATAGATCCGAATATCGACAGACGTAGATTCGAATTGAAAGAATGTTTCGAATCAAGTTATTCGAGTTCAAAATAACTCGATTAATCTGAATAAAATGTTATGTTATCATTGTTAAATGCATATATTTTAATGAGATTAGTATCTTTGCGTTTGAGCAACAAGATGTGCGACAATTTTTATACGATTCAAGATAATGGAACCATTCTATTCATTTTGTTTCATTGTTCAATATGAAGTTACACGTAATTTAATAAATTGCTTGTGTTTGTTTCGACCTCTAGAGCATGTAACTTATACATGTATAAATTATATTTAAGAAAACAAGAAAGACATTGCAATTTTAATTTACTTAAAATTCCAATTTGAATTAGAACTTAAATAATAAAACGCGTACATATGCGTTCTATTTAATATGCGAGATACATGTCAATCAACATGCTAAAATAATCCATCTCGTTATAATTTGTGGATAACGAAATATCGAATATTTTAGGAAACATTTATCAAAGAAATTTTAACAAGAATAGGCATATCGATAAATTCTATCGAGCTCGATCGATTACGCGAACGTGTTATCCGGCAAATAACATTAATTGGATTAGTCGTGAAAATGAACTCATGATTAATATTTATTGACTCGGCGTATATTTAGACGGAAGATGGTATATTGCACATTTTGCAAACGATTCTCGCGTGTCCAATTTATCCAGACTTATTTGCCTATTTAATGGCCGAATTAAGTGATATTTCTAAAGTTTAAACGAATCGATTATTGTTCGATTAAATTGAAACTCGACTTCGTTTCCTATGTTTAATTAAAAAACAGAGAAATTGAAAGTTATAAAAGAGAAGCTTTTACAAAACTTGTTTGAAAATTTACAAATAAAGATGTATGAAAGACAAGAATAATGAACGAATGAATATTGTTTCATTGTTTTCCATATATTTAGGTATTCAAGTTAACAAATTTCAAGTTAAAAGTATTTTTTTTAAATTAATAAGATTTTTCAATATTTTAATAAATAGATTTTCGTGTTTATGAACTATTCCATTTACTTTATAAGCTATTTCATTATTCTCAATTAAACGTAACATTCAATATATATCGTTTTACGATCGACCAGTTCATATATAATAAAAGAAGAGAAACGACAAAAATCACAGATTTTATATTCTCTCCATAGAACCTGTCGCGAACGATATAATATACGGAATTTAACAGGAATTTGTACGGGTTACTCGCTGTTTAAGACACCGTTAAACCGGCTCACAGTACACTTATTTTTACGACTAAAACACTTCCTCCAGCTATGAAAAGTTCGCGCTCTACCCGTCCAAAAGTCGTCCAATAAAGACCCAGGCTTCGTGTTTTAAGATTTGTTTCCACGTGCATGCCTCTGGCGCACGGCGAAGAAAATTATCCAACCACGGGAAAAACGCGAGACAACAGGCATCTCCTCGAGTACGAGGCTCCTCTCCCCCTTCCTTCGTTCAAATTTTCTATCCAGCGTTTCGTAGCACGAGGTGAAAATTAAAATTTCTATCGTTTCTCTGCGCCATTTTTGTTGGAAAAAGAAATTAAAAAGACGGATAATTTAATCATGAAATTCAATTCGCAGTTTATGTTTCAAAATATCCAAAACATGTTTCTATCGATTGAAAATTCACTAGTAAATAATATTACGCGATCATTTTGAAAATATCAGAGATTTATTATAATGCATTTACATCTTATCCACGATGATCCAGTATAAATATTTATCGACGACTTCTAAAGAATTATTTTTTATTTATTCATATTATAAATATCCATATTAAGCTTATTATATAAGCTTCTATATTTATATAAAATGTATCACTTCTATAACTACAATTTAAATAGCTCCTTTCTTTCTTCTCTTTCTTTTTTTTTTTCTTTTCTTTTCTTTCTCTCGAAAAGCAAACGTCGGCTCGTGTTCCAACGCGGTTCCAACTTGCACAGAGGAGAGGAGTACCGACAAGTGTTCAGAGGTTGATCAAGATTCTTAAAAGTTTAAACGAGGCTGGTGTATACGTAATCTGACTTGCAGGATGTCGAATTGACCGCTACCTTTGCGTCCTTAATTACACTGGTTCGCCGTAAAAGGCTCACCCGGAAAAGAATTCACGAATACGAACGTTCGAGTCGCCGAATTATCGGAGCCACGTATCGATTCTTTTCTCCCGAGTTGTGCCGCTCGTTTCGCGCGAAATCTTCGAATAAAAGGACTTGTTGGGAATACAGGGAGACGTCGGGAGATCGGGAGGAGAGAACATGTACTCGGGGAACGTCGACGAGATGAAACGTTTCGAGGGGCAACACGTGCCGAAATGTCGGGACATAATTAAAAGAGCGCGTTTATCTTGGGATTGTTCAATCATGGAGATTAAAAATTTCAACGTAAATGAAATGTAAATGATGAAAATTCAACGATTCTACGAAAGGAATATTTCATTTCTTATAGTCGTTTAATCGAGAAAAAAGAATTAGATATCAATATTTAAAAAAAAGACTGTTCTGTCCTTATTCTTCCCACCATTGAAATAATTCTTTCTCTACGATTCCTCGATAATTATATAATTATCGATCAAGAAAAATAACATATAAAGAAGAGAGAAATGGTACGAATATTACGAACGATTTTTCCAGAGAATCGTGTAGAACCGAATCGATTTTTCGATTTCTTTGCCGTTATCATTCTTTCACGAGGAAGCATTAGAACTATCAGCAGATAAAAGGCAAGAAAGCGACTGGATTTCGCTCACGTCCCAAGAAAAAGTGAATCTGTCGTCCAAGAGGGAATCACGTCGTCGGAAACGTACTACCTACTCTGTCACGGTAGCACGTCACTGACTGTTTCTTGATTCGGGTGGAGAGGAGATCGACGACGAGGCCTTGATCTCCAGACAGGGTCCAGAAATTCGTTTCGTTCGGGTTAGTGATGGACAAGATTTGTTTGAATTCTGTCACGAACTCCCCGATCGTTCTTTCAAAGAGGAGAAAGGGACAGGTTCGTCGTCCCTTTGCAGAAATTGGATGCAAGATTTATTCGAGACGTATCGTTTCGAAAGAAAGAATTGTTAACGAATCGATCGAAATATTTTTCGTTATACACATTATATTTTTCGTATGGAAACGTCGATGCGCTTATTGATAAAATTCTACGACCAACATTCTACGAATAAAACTTTTAAATTTTACCTTCTCCTTCTGCGGGTCACCTTCGATCTGAAACAAAACCAATATAATTAATCAATAATTTATCCATTCCAATAAATTTCCAGAAAATTTAAAAATCACATATTTAACGGGAACAAAACGAAAAAAAAAAATACCAAATATACACAGAAACGAGGAAAAAACGAAACGAACCGAAGCGAATACCGAAGCGGAAATTCGTTCCCCTATCAGCTTCCCAAATACTCGAATACATTATCGAAATCCAGCGGCGCTGGATTCCCTATACCTACGATTTATATTTAGCCATTATCTCGGCCGCGATCCGCGTTTGTAAACATTCCGTCGAAATGGTGCATCGAGCTCTGTTTTCGATAGATAAAAAGCGATCATCGGTCGGGCGATTAAGCGGTGTCAAGATAAGAGTTCATCGCAATCCAATTACCACCGTCACTCGGCCGCTAGGTAATTAATCGCACGGCCGATGGCTCGCGAGTATCGACCTAGTAATTGTTATACCAAGACATGGATTATCTAACGAGGCCTGCTTCCGTCCTCGTCACGGTTTCCAGGGGAGGTTATAATCGAGTCGATTCTTAAAGCGAAGAGAGTTGCAACGAATCAATTAGTCTTATTTAATTGCTAGAATGATTAAAAATTGTCGTAACGAGAATGTAAAATCAAGTGTCGTTACTATAGATACACGAGATAAATATCAAGATCGAGGGAGAATTAAGATTGTTTGAATATTAATTGCTGACCTCGTTTGATTTGCTGAGTTTTAAATTGATACAGTTATTAATATCATTGTTGAACAATCTTTACACTGAATGTTTCAAATTGTTGGTTAGCTTATCGATAAAGTCTTGTAAGGGCAATTATAATCTGTATTAACTTCAAAGTATCCTCGATAAGGGTGATATTATATGGGATTTTATAAATTTTCTACATTTTATTTCGCACACTCCATCATCCTATTAGTGTATCATCTATTTTCTCGGCGTGTGAGTTATATACGAGCAATATCGTCGAGTGACGCAATGAAAAACGCAAAGGGAAAATTTATAAAAAAGGAAGAGAAGAAAAACGATAATAAATAACTATGAAGACACGAATGTGACTTCATATTCGAGATATCGCAACAAATCATTGGACACTGAACGGAAATTAAACTCGTATTACGTTAAAGCAAAGATAAAACTTGTCACGAATAAACAAATGTAACTTAAGCAAATAATTAGAAAGAAATCAAAAAGCAGATAATTATAAATCAAATCAAATGAATTCTAAATATAAATAAATGAACAAAGTAAAAGAATGTGAACGAACGAAACTAAAAAAAAAAAACGTGCATAAAAAGCAAGCTCTTTGAATAAACAAAATCGAGATCATAAATAAAATGAATAAATCCTAACAAACAAATGTAAACGAACAATCAGAAAGTATAAATAAATAATCCAATTTTATTTCAATAAATTAAATACAAACTCGAATTTATACACCGATATACAATTATTCCCAAGTGCAATTGTTAAATATATCAATTGCATAAACCGTGAAAATTATGCCAAAATAACGTTCGATTAATGTAAAATCTGTCAATCGAATCTTTTCCACTCTCCTCCCCACCGCAACCATTTTCCATTTTTGGAATATCCATGTAAAATAACGTCTTCAATATAAATAAATCATCGCGTGCTCGTTAAAAGGGACACGGGAAGAAAAATTCTTTATTATCTCGACTGTGGGGGATGTAGTTGGTTCGCGTGATCAGAGGGAAGGGAAGGGAAGGGAAGGGAAATATAAATGCGCGGACCGGTGTTTATGGCAGCTCGTTACCAACGATGGTTTTTAATTTCAACTTTGCAGTTTTTTTCTCTCTCTCTCTCTTTCTCTCTCCAACCATTCAGACACCCTTAAGTATGTTTACATGCATTACTTAACCCATTGTCGCGTTCAAAGAGGTACGAGAGGGAAAGAAAATGGCTGGTCATGTGGCACCGTGATTCTTTACCATTCACGAGGGGTAATATGAATATTAATAATATTCTTCGAGAAGCAAATTTTAGAATGACAATGGCTTCCCCTCCTTTCCCGGTATCTTTGCATAAAGACATTGCGGTTGTACCGTGTTGGTCTACAACTTGTCTTAATGGAATAGTATCGAGGTATTAAAATTATTTCCGTGATAATTGTTCACCGTCATTTTCAGATAGGATGGAAAAATATAATATAAAATCATCGAGATTTCGCATCGATATGTGTATATATTTTCTGTCGTGTTTTCAATTATTAAATGCACCGTGTACCGTCAAAGAAGACCATTCTGCAAATTACTTCTTTCATTTTTAAATACATCAAAGATGAGAATGAGTAGAGAAAATAATTCGTGTCATTTTCATATTGAATGAAAAGTCCAACAACAAGTGAAACAAATAAGCAAAGAATTTCTCACAAGCATTGAAATATTAACAATTAATTTAAACTCTATTTTATATAATAATCTCATATTTGATATTATTTACATCCAATACGAGTTGATAGACGAATCGCATCTCAGAAACGAGGAAAATCCAAGAGAAACGTACGATATCGAAGTGTCTCGGCGTGAATATCGTAAAACTCGCGTCCAGTTTAACCGGTTAATAAAGACAAAGTTTGTAGGCGGACTATACTAATCGCGCAACCAATACGGAAACAAATGCTTTTTAATCCTGTGCACGCCACGCTCTATCTCTTCCAACGACACTTAAGTACGTTTACATGGCCTGGCTAACCCCATTATCATCCACCAACGTGTCCAGAGGGATGCAAAGGAAATAGAGGGAAGATGGAGAAAGAGGGAGAGATCAGGTGGAAGAGGAGCGTAATCTTGGAGAGAATATCGGAGAAGGACAGAGATAGAGGCGCAAGGGAGAGGTTGGTGCGGTGTAAAAGCGGCTTCCTCGACGTGTAAGGTACGAGTGTAAGGCTCTTAAATGGTTATTGGATTGAGACCCTGCTCGAACGAGCGGGAACTTACTTGGCGATATCCTGTCGTGGTAGCGGTGTTCATGGTCGTTGGGTAGAGAGAGGAGGAAGGGAGAAAGAGGAGAGAAGGATGGCGTGGAAAGCCGAGAGGAGAAGCTGGAACGTGAAAAAGAACGGGTTGCATCGTAGGCCACACACGTATCGTGTAAATAGAGATAGCGGAGGAAAGGATGATGGTAAGTCGAGAAGAGAAAGAGAGAGAGAGAGAGAGGAAGGACACAGAAGCAGACCGCGCTGATGCGGATATTCGTATGCTCAAGGTACCGCCGACCACCGCAGTAGTCTCGTTGCCGCGTCCCGTCAGACGGCCAAGTTTTCCTAACACTTTATTGCGGCCCATTGTAGTCTCGCCTCGGCTCTCCACCGCTACAAGTGCCATATGAAACATTTAGTCGTAAGGGAAACACTTAATTTAACCGTGGCCACGAACGATGCCTCCGTTCTTTCAATATTCTTTCGCCACCTCGCGGCAAACCCTCCCGTTAGATACGCGGCACACGTGATCGCCGTAACTATTCCTACCTACAGGATGCGCTTCGTTAATGGGGGAGGCGGCCCCCGTTGTTAATTATGCGCGATTACGTTGCACCGGCGAACGTCTTCGGGCGTAATGTTCCCTCTAACGAACTTAAGGTATATCGTTGAAGCATCCGCGTGGTTGGCTCACGTGCGACTCGTAATCGATTTCAACGAAACGATTTCTATGCAAATGAAAAATCTATGAATACGTCCCGTGTACGGGCCTCCCTTCTTTTTGACGATATAAAACCAGTATAAAAGACGATTCTACCGATCCGAGGCATTACTTCGTCATTAACCCCGTTTAAAATAAACCACCAACTCGATTATTTTGCGACCGAGCTTTCGGGAGAAATAGAACAAGGATAGAAACACTTTATGCATACGAAAAGGAGGATCCAGAGAATTCAAAGGGTTCGCGATAACGAAAACAAATTGCAATATATTAAAAACGCGAAACATTTAAAATTCTAAGACAATTTCGCTTATTCCTTGGTAAACTCAAAAGAATTTCCATTTACTTCCTGGCTGGGACCGAACGAACCACGGTATAAAGAAGAGTTTTACGTTGATCGTTAGCCTCCTCTCTCTCTCTCTCTCTCTTTCTCTCTCTACATCCTTTCCAAACAACTTCCGCCCGTGTATGCAATAGCAGCAGCGCAAACAGCAACAAGCTCCCGTAGCAAACTGTTACCGATATTACCCTACCACTTAGTTACCAATTTACTTGGCCGGTCGAGGGACGTGGGGCGGAACCACGAGGCGGTAGTTTCCGCGATTCACGCACGTTTACATGTAAATCTAGATGTAAACCGAGGTCATACCTAGTTATTGCTCCCGGGGCCGCGCGTTACAATGTCGCCATTAGAAGAACGTTTTTAAAGGGTGTATCGTTTTCACGGGTAGCGCGCGCCAGATAACGATGGAAATTAACCGGAATCGGAGGGGAATACGAAAGGAAACTCGAATCTCATCGATTGAATTCGAATCGTGCGTGCACTAAGCCGAGGTAAATGATACGTGCGATTTAATGAAAGTTCAAGTGAAATTTAAAAAGATTGGCTCGAAATATTAAAAGAGCCGAAATATTATCCGGGATAAATCTGTTTGAACGAACGATTCTTCGGATGATCGATCGAGAAGAATTAAATTTGTGACTACGTCATAAAACGATTAGAAGATAAATAATTTTTCAAAATATTAAATATGAATTATATCATAAAAGAACGTATATCTAGTAAGAAAAAATATAATATATGTGTCTTAGAATGTGAAAAATCGATGCTCCATTATCAAAAATATTATAGAGATATACTCGAACTTATTATTCAAAATTACAATAGACCGTGACGGGGCAGAGTTTTGTACACGAGTTCACACAACACGATTCCATTATAATTAAGATTCGCATCAAGATATCAAAGTTCAGAGTTCCTCGCAATATTAATTTCACAGGCAGTTTACGCCTTACAATCTCATTCACGCCGTACACATCTCAGTCA